TACTGATATGTTAGTGAGACAGCAGTTCGCTGCAAGCTACCAGCTTTTGATTTGCTATTCAACAGTAGGACAGTCAGGCAGTGTGCACATTGCATCAGCAGACTACATTTTGGCAGAGATGGCGGCTTAAACTACTCTACTGGTAAATTAGTTTTCAGGGTGGTGAGATGGCTCTTACAAATGGGAGAGTATGGGTACAGTAAGTAGGTGAGAGAGCTAAGGATCCTACTAGACATAGGTGGTTTATTTACTAAAGGCAAATCGGCTGTTCACTTTGCAAGGGAGGTTGTATTTTGCAAGGAAATTTGCCCCAGTTCTTAATGAATGAGGTGAAGCTCTGCTGACTTTCATCATCCAATAATGTGCAAACAAAAATGCTTTTTTTTATTTTACTTGCATGTGACTGGGTATTCTTTGCAAAGTGAAACTTCACCATATTCAGTAATCTCTGTAGTTGTCTCCTCATAGGATAGCACCCTGTGTAAACAAACAGGCTGCACGTTACTAATGCCAATTATGGGCGTTGGTGCCCCTAAGTATAGCTGCCTAGAGGTATTTTTTGCCATTTGAAGGTCTTTACTATTATGTATTACGTGTCCCATATAATCACACTTGTTTTCAGAGTCTAATTCATGGAAAATGAGGTGTGACTTAGTGCTGTGCATGTGCCACCATCACACTCCAAGAATGCAGAAGATAGTAAAGGTGGGTATCTGGGTTTTTTTAGAGCACAAACATTAGCCCACAAAAAGGTATAAAAATAAAATTTTAAATCTTATTGTTACAATCATAAAACCATGGATAAAAGAATACTTGGCTGGTATAGTAATGTTCATAGTAGTTATAAGAGAAAAGAGTTCAAAATGTATGCAGCAGGTCTTCATCAGGGTCACACAGACATTAGGGTCTATATGCCCTTGACAAATATCTGCTTGAAACACATGGGCCCCCTTCTGTTCTGAAGCCTATCAGCATTTACTTTTTCTATCTCTTCTTCTATCTTTCATGGACATCATCAACAAGTTCCATGCATGCACAGACCAAAAGAGCCAAGCCCTTCTTTAAATTGAAGGTTGTCACAGTGCAAACTCCTCCATGGTATATATACAGCATTGATATCCCAACCCTCATGACACTGCTAGTCACATGCGCCTATGCTAGAGACAGATGAGGACATCATCAAAGGAAGACGCGCTGAAGATCTCACCATAGCCAAGATTCAATGAATGTGAGTGTGAATGGGCGTGCACAAATGATGCCAGACATATCAACATCTATATTTCATAAAATGTAAAAGCTTTGGAGGATTTGGATGCTATCCACATATAGCATGTATAACCAAATTGCGGATTGGACAAGTTATAATGTTAACTGTCTACTTAAACGCACTACATTGTATTGCAAAGGTCTGGGAAGGCCCTTGATCTACCAGATTCAACAATGTACAGGAATAAACACACAAAGTTTTCTTTACCTTCTTTGTCACCCAACTGTTTGGATCCTCATCACGAAAATGTTGACTGCCATATGGGATCCTCTTGTATTCAGTGGATGTGTGAATCAATGGATCATAGGGTTTATTTTTCTGAAAGCTGGCAAATGGGGCAAATCTGAAAAGAAATATAAAATGAAAAAATGAATGAATAGGATCTGTACACACCCAATACCAGGGGCGGACTGACAACTCATGGGGCCCCCGAATCACAAGAGATAATGGGGCCCCCGTGTCTCCGCTACACTCAAGCCAAAGCCACACCCACACAACACCCCACCTACATATTGCAGCTCAGCTCCATAGAAAAGGCATTAAAAATAATTTAAAAAATAATAAAACAACGTCGTAGGGTCCCCCCTCCATTCATACCAAGCCCTTCGGGTATGCTATGGGTTCTAAGGGGAACCCCCACACTAAAATGTAAAAAAAATGGTGTGGGGTCCCCCCCCAACATTCATACCAGACCCTTATCCGAGCATGCAGTCCAGCAGGTCAGGAAAGGGGGGGGGACGAGCGAGCGCCCCCCAAAGCACCTTGTCCCCACGTTGATGTCCCCATAGCCCTGGCCTGTGGTTGTGGGGGTCTGCAGGCTGGGGTCTTATCAGAATCTGGAAGTCCCCTTTAGCAAGGGGGCCCCCAGATCCCGCCCCCCCATGTGTGAATGAGTATGGGGTAAATGGTACCGCTACCCATTCACAAAAAAAAAAGTGTAGTGTTAAAAAAGACAGGAGACAGTCTTTGACAAGTCCTTTATTAAAAGAAGAAAAATAAAAAAATGTCCCCCGAAGTAGATCCAACGTCAATCACAAAGCCTGCTACCCGAAGAAATAAATAAAAAAAGGCTTCGCTCCCAACGCAGGCTCCTGGCCGTCTGACTACTCTGCTGGCTTGACAGTTCTTAAATATGTAAGGGGCGGGGGCCCCAGTGACATCACACGTGTGGCCCCACCTCCTTGTGACATCATTGACCCAGCATGCCCTGCTTGATGAAGTTACAAGGGGCGGGGTCACACATGATATCCCGGGTGGCCCCGCCCCTTACATATTTCAGAACTGTCAAGCCAGCATCGGGTGCTGAGCCTTTTTTTTTTCTTTTTTTCGGTAGTGGTGGGGGCGAGCATCGTGATTGACGTTGGATCTACTTCGCAGGACATTCTTTTATTTTTCTTCTTTTAATAAAGGACTTGTCAAAGACTGTCTCCTGTCGTTTTCCACACTACACTTTTTTTTTGTGAATGGGTAGCGCCACCAAGTACCCCATACTCATTCACATGGGGGGGGATCTGGGGGCCCCCTTGCTAAAGGGGGCTTCCAAATTCCAGAAAGTCCCCCGCCCGCAGACCCCCACAACCACTGGCAAGGGTTGTGGGGAAGAGGCCCTTGTACCTATGAACATGGGGACAAGGTGCATGTGGAGGGCATGTGGTCTGGTATGGTTCAGGAGGGGGGGTGCTTGCTCGCCCCCCCCCCTTCCTGACCTGCCAAGCTGCATGCTTGGATAAGGGTCTGGTATGGATTCTGGGGGGGACCCCCACGCCATTTTTTAAAAAAGTTTGGTGGGTATGGGGGTTCCCCTCAAAATCCATACCAGGCCCAAAGGGCTTGGCATAGATGGAGGGGGGACCCCACACCATTTTTAAAATAATTTTCTTAATTGCCGGCAATTCTTTCTTTTACATTCAGCTGTCAGTGGGGAACCCCGCTGACAGCTGAAACATTAACGCATCCTTTGCACTATTAAAATACCGCATGACTTGATAAAATAACTCATGCAGTATTTTAGTAGTGTTTTTTTTGGTGAATTCAAATATTTTTTATTTTTTTTCAAAAAATGCTATGCGGTATTCTACCGCATACACAGATGTAGTAATATACTACTTAGTGAATTGTGCCTTTCACCGGGCCCCCTAATGACCCCAGGCCTTTGGGCAATGCCCGAATGGTCAGTCCGCCACTGCCCAATACATATGAATGGATACATTTAAAATTAATGTACACATGCACTTAAGATGAGTTTACTAAGTACACTATATGGCCAAAATTTTGTGTTCATACCTTCCTAAATCAGGTGTTTCCAGTGAAGTGTATTATTAAGACACATTTTTAGTTTTTAATTAAGTTAACTAAAATTAGTTTGTGATGGATATTTCACTTTTTTGCATTGCTCTACAAAAACGTATTTGCAAAACAGATCCGTCTACAATGTAGCTAGATGTATGTCAGGCAGTTTATTCTGAAGCCTTGCTGAATAGCAGATGAGCTAAAATGCAAACAAGCCAATTAAAAAAAAAGGAGAAGCGTACCCTGGCTCCGTTTATCACAAATGGCAAAAAATAGAAAGAAAAACAGAGCTAGGGGTATTTTTCATTCATACTGTACTCCTATGACCACTCTCATTAGATAAGTAAACTAGAGTTCATAAATGGACACAGGAGAGGTGAAACAAAATATGTAACATATAAAGTATATCAAAAGTATACTAGAACAGTACATCAAAACCATGGGGATGGCTACAGGCTAGGATCCATGCATCATGTGTGGTAGGTATGGTATGTTGTATAATGGGCAAGAACAGCATCTACATAAGAGATCAATTCACTAATTTTATTGCCTGAAAGGCCTCAATATAATCAAGCAAATTCTTCCATAAACCAGACTTTCTTTTAACCACTTTCTTAAGGCGATGCTCCAAATAGTAGAGATTCATGCTTGAGATCTCGAAATAAATGTAAATCCACCTATCCTAATGCAATACACAGCACATGGTACAGGATCTCACTTGCATAAAAGGCGTCTGTGCTATTCATGTAAATATTAACCGTCAGGTAGGAAGTACCCACTTGTAATGCAGTCAACTACTGTCATCAGTAGTACCAGTCAACTGGTATATATTAATATCAGGCGATATTGCAAAAATGCCTGCTGCCTCTGTAAGGCCTCATGCACACAGGACATTAAAAAAAGCTCTCCTAGAAGTCTTCCTCCTGGCAGCAGCATTTTTGCAGAAAAAATGCCTGACGCTTGTATAAGTCTCTAATGCTTTACAAGCGTTTGGGCACATTTAGAAGCGTCAAGTACTTGGGCATTAATTAATTTAAGTGGCCAAAATAATAATTTATTCTGGCCACTGAAATTAATGAACACTCAAGCGCTAAATGTACCTAGTATTAACACGCGCTTAGGCACATTTAGGCGCATTTACATGCATCAAGTGTTTTGTCTGCCAAAATGCTGCTGCTCCTGGATGCACTGGCCTTGGGGTTTTTTCCTCCCTGTAAACGCTCCTGCCATTAAAAGTACTCCTAAAAGTCTATGGGTGAAGACTGTTTACAAGCAGTAGTAGAAAAATGGCTCATGCCCCTAAAAGTGGTTGCAAAAGCCCTGTGTGCATGAGGCCTTAGAGGCCATTACTTGTGAATAAGCCCAAAGATAATGCTGTAATGTAGCAACATGAATGCATAGAAGTGCAGTTGGCCAGAGTAGATCAAACTCGCTGTAAGTAGGCAGCAGGGGCGGACTGACCATTTGGAAACTCGGGCACTGCCCGAGGGCCCGAGGTCAGTAAGGGGCCCCATGAGATGCCCCTGGTACCTTTTTCATAGGTTTTTTTGAGTTTGGCCAAGGACACAGGGGTCCCATGATCCCCTATTGCCCGGGGGGCCCCATGAGTTGTCAGTCCACCCTGGTAGGCAGAAGGAATGGATCAAAGTTGCACAGGGCTCTTAGTAAGTTTCACAAGCAGCGGAATGGCACTTCCTCGTTGCTGAATGATGTGAAATAGAGCTCAGAGAGCATGTGAGGAACACTCCACGCACCGGATGACATCAGTTCTCAGTCCCACAGCATTAGAAAATAGTGACCTACATAACTGAAGTAGCTCCTAGGCCTACTCATTAAGTTAGTCTTCAGAGACAGGGCAAGCACTGAAGCAATGTTAGTGGCTCAGGACCTGGAAAGCTCACTGTAGAACTTTTGTTAGAACAAAGTCTGGGATACCTTCCAGGGTATCCGTGCAAAATCTAGTTCAACATGAATAGAGAAAAACATACAAAGGACGCACTGGCCTTGTGCATTACCTTAAAAGTATGTTTATTAACCACCTCCCACCCGTCATATAGTAATAGACCCATCTCCCTGCTCCCATTTACATCTAAACTCCTCGAGCGCCTAGTCTACACCCGCCTATGCTCTCACCTCAACGACAACAACCTCCTCGATCCCCTACAGTCCGGCTTCCGTCCCCTACACTCCACCGAAACTGCCTTACTCAAACTCTCCAACGACCTGCTAACCGCCAAAGCTAATGGACACTATTCAGTGCTCCTACTCCTTGACCTCTCTGCGGCCTTCGACACAGTCGACCACCCCCTCCTCCTCAAAAAACTACACTCCCTCGGCCTCAGAGATTCTGCTCTCTCCTGGATCTCATCCTACCTGTCACAACGCTCTTTCAGCGTTACCTATAATGCTACCACCTCCCCCTCACTCCCCCTCTCTGTTGGGGTCCCTCAAGGCTCTGTCCTCGGGCCCCTTCTCTTCTCCATCTATACCTCCTCCCTTGGCCAACTCATACACTCTCACGGCTTCAACTACCACCTCTATGCCGACGACACACAAATCTATCTCTCAACCCCCCACCTCACCCCCTTGGTCTCAGCCCGAATCACACACCTACTGAGCGACATATCAGACTTCCTTAAATTGAACCTCTCCAAAACCGAGTTTCTTGTCTTCCCCCCAGCCCGGACACCACCCCCCATTGATTTCTCTGTCACATCCAACAACGCTACCATCAAACCCGCCCTGCAGGCCAGAGTACTGGGTGTCATTCTGGACTCCAACCTATCCTTCCAGCCCCAAGTCCAATCTTTAACAAACTCGTGCAGACTCCACCTCCGCAACATCGCCAAAATCCGCACGTTCCTAACCCCAGAAACCACTAAACAGCTCATCCACTCCCTCATCATATCACGACTCGACTACTGCAACTCCCTCCTCACTGGCCTGCCTCGCCGCTGGCTATCCCCTCTTCAGTCCATCCTGAACATGGCTGCCAGACTCATTCACCTTTCCAACCGCTCTGTCTCCGCCACCCCCCTCTGCCAATCCCTCCACTGGCTTCCGATTGCGCAACGGATCAAATTCAAAATCCTAACGCTGACGTACAAAGCTGTCCACCATACTGCCCCGAACTACATCACTGACCTAATATCCAAGTACCGCCCAGCACGCACACTCCGCTCCTCACAAGACCTCCTTCTCTCTAGTTCCCTGGTCTCCTCCTCCCATGCCCGCCTCCAGGACTTCTCCAGGGTGTCACCCATCCTCTGGAACTCCCTGCCCCAACCCATCAGATTATCACCTACTCTCCTCTCCTTTAGGCGCACCCTGAAAACCCATCTCTTCAGGGAAGCCTACCCCACCCCCTGCTAACTTGCCTCCCTCCTCCACTCTTCCTACCACTCCATCCCCCGCAGCTATCTCCTCCTGTGCCACCACCCCCTCCCTCCTAGATTGTAAGCTCGAAAGAGCAGGGCCCTTGATCCCCTCATGTTTTGCATTGTATTGGTATTGTTCTGTCACATGTTCTGTCTCCCTTTGTAATGTACAGCGCTGAGCGAACTATTGGCGCTTTATAAATACTGTATAATAATAATAATAATAATAATATCAGTGCCTACCAGTGCACATCAATGCCACATATTAGTGCCCATCTGAGCTGCCTTTCAGTGTCACCCATCAGTGCCAGTCAGTGCCACCTATCAATGCCAATCAGTGTCACCTATCAGTGCTGCCAATCAGTGCCACCTATCAGTGCCAGTCAGTGCCGCCTATCAGTGCGCATCAGTGCCGCCTGTCAGTGCCGCCTAACAGTGCTACCTATCAGTGCCATATATCAGTGCCATGTATCAGTGCTGCCTTTCAGTGCCCATCAGTGATGCCTGTCAATGCCCATCAGTGCCACCTACCAGTGCCTCCTCATTAGTGCCACCTATCAGTATCCATCAGTGCAGCCTATCAGTGTCCATCACTGCAGCCTCATTAACGCATATCAGTGACGGAGAAAAATCCGTTATTTACAAAATTTTATAACAAAAACTAAGAAAAACTTTTTTTTCAAAATTTTCAGTGATTTTTGGTTTGTTTAAGAAAAAAGAAAAAACCCAGAGGTGATTAAATACCACCAAAATAAAGCTCTATCTGTCACAAAAAAATTGATAAAAATGTCATATGGGTACAGTGTTGCATGACCGCGCAATTTTCATTCAAATTGCGACAGCGCTGAAAGCTGGAACTTGGCCTGGGCAGGAAGGGGGTATAAGTGCCCTGTAGGCTAGCGGTTAAATATTTGAAAAAATGTATTCTGAGGAAGAGGCTAGTCCTCGAAACACGTCAGCCTTTTGGATGTCCATAATTCTCATCATAAGACAGAAACGCAGTGCGAATTGGACAGAGTGGTTCCTTCATGGTGTGCCTTATATTTATTGACCATTGTGGGTAGAATACATTTTTTTAATATTTAATAAACATACTTTTAAGGTAATGCACAAAGCTGGTGCGCCCTTTGTTTGTTTTTCTCTATTCAGTACTTTTGGACTCCCCGATTCTTTGACGGCAGCAAGGCGTGCATATCCCAAGAATTTCATTATGTGGTCCCAATGATATAGAGTCCATCCCCAAGCGCAGGAGTATCTGGGTTTTTCCACTTCTACATCTAGTTCAACATGGTCAAAGCACAAAATCCAGACTGAGGTTGACTTTACCTCAGAGCTGTAATCAAAGAGACAAAGCTCCAGCAGCAACACAGAGAAAAGTCTTGATTGAAAGGAAAAAAAAGAAAAAAAAAAGGGGTGCTAGCAAAAAAAAAAAAAAAAAAAAAAAGATTTTAAGCAGCAGAGCAAAAAAGACATCCATCCTCCCAGGACACTAGTAAAAACTGAGGCATGCTGGTAGTAGGAGGGGTTCTCCTAGGCTGACCTACATTTTGTTTTGTTTACCGGTGACCAATTCTTCTGTAGGCGGGATTGTAACAGACTTTCTGTCCTGATAATTTTATATTAACAAAACACATAATGTACATACAAGAGGTATGTGTGTTTGTGTGTAGGATCATTACACTATATTGTGCATATATGTATTGATAGATTTTAAGAGGAATCTTTAAAAGTTTTAGAATATATTTCATTTAGAAGCTAAAAATTCCACAATTAAACCTAGTTAATTTAGCCTTAAATTATACAACAGCGCGGAAGCATGTAAACCCTCGCGGGATCGGCAGCTCTCATACAAGACAGATTACGGTACTTGCAATGCTAATTTGCACATGGGATGGACATCAGTGAAAAAAATTAATGTGGCCCCAATGTCCCTGAGTATACAGAAGAGCTGCTGTGAGCCGGCTGCTGCACTTACAATTTTTATCACTTCTCAATTGCATTTTAATAGTACATTTTTCTTGTGTGTCGACATGAAAGAAAATTTGCCATCTCTCGGGATGCTATGGCTGAAGAGCTGTGGCAGGCAACAGAGGAATCAAGCTTAAACATTGACGTTATGGGGAGCTAAATGACATTGTATGGCAAGGGGAAGACTGCGCCTGTGCTTATCATTTCCTTTTGTTAGTATCCTAAATGATATAGTTAACAGAAACCTATTTACTTGCTTTCATTAAAAGTAAGGTGTGGCAGGTCTACAGGATATATGTAAATAGTTGCCAGTGAGAAACATTGCAGGTGTGTGTGTACATATAATATACAGTGTGTATATATATACATATATAGAGAGAGAAATTCAGATATTCCAATCACCTCCATGGCCACAGGTGTATAAAATCAAGCACCTAGGCATGCAGACTGCTTCTACAAACATGGTACTGTGATAGGTTGCCACCTGTGCAATAAGTCCATCCATGAGATTTCCTGGCTACTAAATATTCCACGGTCAATTTGTGGTATTATAACAAAGTGGAAGCAACTGGGAACAAAAGTAACTAAGCCATGCAGTGGTAGGCCACGTAAAATAACAGAGCGAGGTCAGCGCATGCTGAAGCGCACAGTGCACAGAAGTCGCCAACTGTCTGTAGAGTCAATAGCTAAAGACCTCCAAACTTCATGTGGCCTTCAGATTAGCACAACAACAGTGCTTAGAGAGCTTCATGGAATGGGTTTCCATGGCCGAGCAACTGCATCCAAACCTTACATCATCAAGTGCAATGCAAAGCATCGGATACAGTGGTGTACCGCCACTGAACTCTACAGCAGTGGAGACATGTTCTCTGGAGTGACGAATCACACTTCTCTGTCTAGCAATCTGATGGACGTGTCTGGGTTTGGCGGTTGCCAGGAAAACGGTACTTGCCTGACTGAATTGTGCCAAGTGTAAATTTGGTGGAGGGGGGATTATGGTGTGGGGATGTTTTTCAGGGGTTGGGCTTGGCCCCTTATTTCCAGTGAAGGGAACTCCTAAGGTGTCAGATTACTAAGACATTTTGGACAATTTCATGCTCCCAACTTTGTGGGAAGAGTTTGGGGATGGCCCCTTCCAGTTCCAACATGACTGTGCACCAGTGCACAAAGCAAGGTCCATAAAGATATGGATGAGC